TTAGAAAGAGAAATATGTGAAGCGCAAGGTACCAACTGCTCGGATTTTAGTGCAAACCTCAAAACCCTACGTAGGAAAATCGAAGTTTGATTAATTTTCTTCTACAGCTTATAATTCTGTAAATGCTTTGAAGTACCGTGCGATTGAGAAAACAAGAAGTTATGTATTTTTGAAAATGGTGCGAACGAACTTTCCAGCCAACCTTATAATCTGTAGCTAAGAGGTTAGAGAGAGACTGAGGGTATGGGCATTGTAATATCACTCACATAAAAGAGTAAGTAACTCCTCGCTTGAGGTAGATATCTGCGAGAAGTCCATTTACGTACCAAACATATTTAGCAGGTCGAGCACGTGCCATAGCCTTAAATGTGGCTATATAAAGTTTTTTGAAAGAAGAGCGGACTTTTTCTATTTACCTGATATCCCTTCTTCCCTCCGGGTACTCCCAGCTGAAAAGTAAAGTTCCGCCTGTTTTCATTTCCAAGTAATGATATTGTAGGCCATCCATCTACAGGAGAAATGTCGTCGAACTGAAAGGGGAAATTGAAATTGTTACGAGGCCTGTTCTTTTGGGGGGCACAAAAGCGACCCAGTTCCTCATTACGCTTCGTTGACAGAGCAATTATCGTGGCGCGTAAGTTTTTTATCACTGGCATCTGGTGTTCGTAGGAAAAGATGCTATCATAAGCTGACCTTGCTGATTTGTAGCTTGAGAACATGGACAACATGAACAAGAAAAATGCAATTAACTTGGAGAATTAGCATCAAAAGATAGAGTTACAGCTCTTTTCTGCGTTCAGACTTAGAAACTTTTGCGCAACTTTGAGAACAAGTTCAGTCCAACTTTTTTCGCTGATTAGTGCATTTCGCTTAGCGCAAAAATTCTAATCTGACTAAAATGAAACTCACTCTTTTCTGGGGAGGAACATAAGGTGGAATCCTTGAAGAAACGTTTGAAATGGCCACATGACCGAAATCGACACGGAACTTGTAGCAATAGATTGCTAGCCAGTCGACGTGCTGAATGTCGTAGTCAGCTGGCAAGTCGATTATCAGATCTTGTCCACCACGATATCGCTCGTTCATGGCTGTGATCCTGAATGGAAATTATAGGAAAACTTGTCTTCAAAAGGCAAGATTCCAAGGAAAAACAGATTTCAAAAAAGCCTAATTACAATTAAGGCCGCTCTATTGCAAGCTTGGATTTCTACTTTAACAACAAGAATTTTTGCGAAGCGCAAGATGACACACTTTCTTTACATCGTTCAAAAATTCAGAAAGCTTTTTCAAATGACCCGCTTTTCGTCCAGTCCTTATTTTTACAAAGTTTTTTCTGGTTTTGATCACACCTTAGCACTTCAGATCAACACCAAAACGGTCCCTATTTTTCAGTTCTTTTCTGCGGTAGGCTTGGAGTGCAGTTGATTTTACAAGCATTTTTTGAGAAAGCTCTCTAGGTTCTTTCGAATGATATGCAGCGAGCTTTATGTTTTGTTGTTATACGCACATAACAAGTTGGAAATCCAAGCTTTTGCGGACCTATGTGTAGGGCCGACTCACTTATGAGTTTTTAGGGTAGTACAAAAATATAAATAACGGTACTGAAACTCACATTATGCTTGCAACCAAAAATACATTGCAAAAACTATAGCACTTTTTTCTGTTAATGGAGATCTTCACACCCGCAATGTTGAGAAGCATTTTCAGTGAGTAAAAGAAGAGTTCAAATGCAGATCAAGGTGAATAAAATATGAGTTAGAGTTGAATAAAGACGATGAGATCGTGTCAAATAAAACCCGAGCTGAACGGGGAAGTCCGGCGTTTTCGGTCCGAAATCAGAGCAGCAATGGTGCCACCTTCAGCAGGTGGTCTTTCCTCTATCAGACAATGTAGGCGCGGCGAATTCCCACGCGGTCAGCACGTGAACAAAACTCGAGGTTTTTTTTCG